AATATATTTCCTGAATATATACAATGCAAACATTATGATACACATGGGAAAATACAATAAATACATATTTTAATAATAGAATACAATGCATATTTTCTTATGCCAATATAAATATGTAATAGTTATCTGATCCATCCAGAGTGCTTGAAGACACAAATGTGCCATTACAAGTCCCACTGAGATGGCTGCCATCTACTACAACTATTGGTCTACAACATTTAAAATCTTTTATGAATGGAAACAGAGATATAAGGACATATAGAAATGTTTTTCATCCGTCTTCTTCATTCTTATATGCGATTCAGGATAGGTGGTGTCCAATATATATAAATAACTGGACAATTTACTATATAAATCAGATGGTGTCCCCCTTAATGTATTTATTGCCTTTTCCTTAGCCTTCTATGCCATAAAGTAGGATACATCTACTCCAACTTCAAGTCTAACATCAACTTGTATGTCTTTCGGTGTCAACTTTCTTTTATGATCAACTAGCTTGGACTTTATTATACCTCCAACAAGGCTTCTTGTTGCTTGTCTCAAACTATACACCTTATCTTTCAATGGACGTGTATGCTCGTCTACAAACTTTCTAATTCTAAACATTCCCGATTTATTAATGTTGGAAGCCTTCATTATCCATTCATAATTTTCAGATACACAAACAAGTGTATAACTGCTCGAATTATAAAAAAAATAAACAAAACACATTAAAACATGAATTATATGGAATAATTACTATAATAACAAAAGATAAAATCTATACAAATACAAATACCTTCACTTGATCTTTTTGTCTTCCACTGAAATCTATTATCAATGGCATATTTCATTATCACAGATTTCAAAGTACGTTTATTCTTATAAACTTGATCCTCAATGACTTCTTTATGATTCATATTGCAAATAATAGAGTTACTTAACTCAGTACTAACTAATGGTGCACTAATAACCGATGCTTGGTTATAAGTAGTACCTCCTCCATTATACTACACATGCCAATATCTTCTTCATATAGATTTCTACTATATATATCACGATCGTTCACAAACACAGTTATACAAATGGGTGTTTTGCAATTTTCCGAGCTTCTTTCTTCAATGACATATATACTCTCATACCCATCTCGTTGTGTATCTCCAAAGGTGCAATGCTACCTTCTATTTTATACCTAAGCTTCAATCTGTTATACCTCAAGTCTACCCCAATCTGGTTAGCAACTTCATCAACTAAATCTTTAAATTGCCTCAGTTGTGTAATCAACATAGCAATTATTTAGTCTAATGTCCATAATGCATAATTATAAAACTAATGCTCCTCATATATGACATATATACTATCATACCCATCTCGTTGTGTATCTCCAAAGGTGCAATTCTACCTTCTATTTTATACTTAAGCTTCAATCTGTTATACCTCAAGTCTACCCCAATCTGCTTAGCAACTTCATCAACTAAATCTTTAAACGATGCATATTCTTTAATTATAATTATCTCAGTTGTGTAATCAACATAGCAATTATTTAGTCCAATGTCCATAATGCATAATTATAAAACTAATGCTCCTCATATATGCCTTGTAGTAAAAAAAAAACAATACACAAAGTCAATACTACTATGCCTTGTAGTAAAAAAAACAATACACAAAGTCAATACTAGATAAAAAAAATTCAGACGTTACCATTCATTTGTATCCAGAATACAAAACAATATAGTTACACAAGTAATTCGAATATATGATTCGAACATGATTCGTTGTCTAAAATTGTGATGCATCACATATGTATTCTGTTGGATATATAATATTTTATACAAAAGTTACAAAACAAATTCAAATCAGAATAATCTTTATTTTTACAATAAATCGGTATATTTGGATTCGCAAACCAAACATAGTCAACAAACCCAGAAAAAATAATGATGATTGCATTTTCAAAATACATAAAATTCAAAACGCAAATACATATGATTAATAATTATACAAAAAAATCGCATCAAATTACATTTAATTACAGACATATGAGGATTAATTAACTAACAAATACGTGACTGTATATATTTTTCGACTTTTCTATCGTGTTTCCTTTCTAAAAAGCTTTTACCCAGTTTCTTTTCCAAAACATAAACCTCGTCAGAAATTTTTTATAATTGATGAACATTATGAATAATGGGCAGATTTATTCGTCAGTTTTTTAATATGTTGTAACTGATGTTGAGAGTTTTAAGCATCTGTTACTTTTTATTATTTTTCTCTCCACTAAATAGTTGTTGTTTGTTATATAAATTTTGTATTCTTTTTAATTAGATCAAATAATTAAAATACATAATAAGGTAAAATTTTGACATTATCACTAAATATTGAAACTGTTTGCACAATACCCTATTAAATACTAAAATATTGACATTTTGAAAAATTTCCCTTTAATTTTTTGTCTTTACAGTATGTAAAAAAAATGCAAAAATCTGTTGATCTGAGAAGGACTAGCTAATGCTAAAACCAATAATGAAATCATTTTAACAATTATCTTGGCTATTACCTTTTTCTGTTGTTACCGACTCTTGCTTATTTCTAAAAAACAAAATTACAAATTTAAAGATACATGAAACTTAAGTCCTATAAATATTTACGAAACATGTGAACCGACCCATACTTCAAGATTTGCACTTCACCTGTGTTGCGTAAAATATCTTCCTGGTTTTCATGTCTCTTAAGACTTAATTTGGTATCAAATTTGTTATGATTTAATTTCATCCCAAAATAATTTAAGTATGACAATTACGAATTTTCTATTTCAACTTATTCAGAAAAAAATTAAAATCTAAATTTTCCCTATAAATAGAAGTCAATCCTAGGCAAAGAAACACACAACAATAACAAAAAACTTCTCGTATATCCAAATCATGTTGCTGTTATCAAATAGGAATCGTTCAAGTATTCAAATAAATTTATACATAATTGATTAATTCATATCATTGGATGTATAAATGAATTAAAAATCATAATACAATTTCATTGTTCGTTCATATATACAAAATGAAAAGAAAACAATATACAAATCAAAACGAAATCATAGATTACTATCATAATTTACTATCCAAACAATTTATGAATGTCAAAAACTAAATTTGTAGTAAAAAATTCCAAATAAACAACTATTTCCACTCGAAAATTTCTAATTACAACTATTTATAGAATTCAAAATGACGAACTGACTTGAATTCTAACAACTTTTTTTTTTGCTCATATGAGTTTGAATCTATTATGAAAAAATATATCATTTGAACTGTAATTACATAATATCATCGTAATATACAATCAAATCACCTTCTGAACGTTTAAAACCAAATATGAGTTTGAAAACATCATACAAAAACATCAATTTCGTTCAGAAAAAAAGTCAAATCAGAGCAATTTTCTATATTAAATACATATTGCAATTGTTGTTTACTCGAAAATTAAATTGATGTCTAATGTTTGTGTTAGTCAAGCTTATTTGATTAACCAAATTGCAATGCAGTTCATGTTGAGGAAACAAAAATCCTTAATATGTGTGAGTTATGAGAAATTAGCTCATTTTAAAAAAAATTGTGTACAAATTTAACGTATTTCACAAATTATAATGCTCAATAGCAAACAAAACTATAGCTATAGAGCAGTAGAACACAATTAACAAAGTTATAATTGTAAAATACTAATATGATTATTATTTTTGCTATTCCTAAGATTTTCTCATTTTCTTATAAACCAAATAAATAAATAAAATTGACTCATATTTTTCTATGTATATCTCTACCATAATATTTTTAAGAGTTGAATGAGTCCTCCAATTCTTTTTAAATAGTTATGATATAACTTATATTATAAAAGGGAACTTTTTTACTATTTTCGTCCACTTTTAATTGTCATAATTTTTTAGAGTCAAATCATATAAATTTTGATCAATATTTTATGATATATTTTGCATCATATTGATATGCACAAAATTGAAATTTATAATATTTTTTGTATAATTTTAAATATCTAATTTTTTTTGTTAAAATATCAAATTAATATATTTTAATTTAATTATATTAGTCAAATTAATTTTTGAAAACAACAAATAAAAGTGGATAGAGGAAGTAATTAACACTATGCTTGAATTATTGTTACTCACTGTATTATGTTGTATTGTATCGTTACTATACATACTTTGTTTTGATTGTCATTTAAAAATGTATTGTATTGTATTGTTAAATTTCGTTGTTAAATAACAATAAAAACCCCTATTTTATGGAACCATTGTTACTTAATTTTTTTTTTCCAATTATATCTTTACTTAATATTTCAAAATACTATTTTACTCATTGGGTGTGTTTGGTATGAAGGAAAATATTTTTCAGAGAAAATGTTTTCTTAGCAAATGTTTTCCTGGAAAACAAGTAGATTTTGAACTTATTTTCTCATTTTTGGTTGGTGAGTAGAAAATATTTTCCGGAAATGATTTTTAGTGTTTGATTTATGAATGAAAAATGTTTTTGAGACACATCTTTTATATTTACTAGAGTAGAAAATAATTTTAAAATTGAAAATATTTTCTTAAAATAGATCCTTTTTTTTAAAAAAAAAAAGTAATTAAAATTGTAGGAGAGTTTTGGAAAATATTTTCCTTAATTTTTGAAGGGAAGTTATTTTCCCTAATTTTGAGTAAAATGAGTTGATTTGAAAAATATTTTCTAAAACTTTTATCTCAACCAAACATGAGAAAATTTTCCTTCTTACCAAACACACTATTTATTTTAATTATTTAAATCTAGTCCAACCTCTTACCCTAAAATAATTAAGAATATTTTAGTAATTTACAAATTATAATATAGTAATAGTATGATACAATCAAATCAAACTATTAAAATGTTATTAAACAACAACAAATAATACAGTCTAGACAAAACATTATATATACACCATAAAATACAGGACAATACATTATAATACAATGCAATATAAAATATTATGAAATAATTGGCAAGAATGATCCAAAGTTCAAGAGTATGTTATACATCTGTTAGCGTTAACTTCTATGATAAATGCAGATTAATTTAATTGTTCAGAATGCAGATGTCGTTGATGCGAGTTTCTTGGCTCCATATAATTTTTTTCTTCTTGTTCTGAAACAAGTAAAAGTTGAGTTTGCGACTCTTTTTCTTCACTAATTGCTACTGTAACGGTTTGCTGTGGTGCCCGTAAGGTATTTTTGATTCCATTACAACTCACAAATTGCATTAACGTTTCTGTTTTTTTTTCTTTGGTTCTTTTCATTCTTGATGTTTATAGGGATTTGACATTTGTAATCAATCTTGCTTTACATTTTAGTTGATTGGAGTTACCCTCTTCCATGATTTCTGACCCAAAATCATGCATCTATCAATAGAGTGAAAATTGGTGATTTTGATTGACTCAGCCCAATTTCAAAAAGTTGGCTTTTATATAATAAACAAGACTTGTTTAAACAAAGTTCCGTATTTTCAGTGATTAGTGGATATTCTTTGTTGAAATGTGGGTAAAATGCCTAATTTTTTATAGAACTCTCACTCATCTCTTATGTATTGATGTTGCCGAGGTGGTTGATGGATGAAAAATTTCTAGTAGGGTTCATTTCAGTGTTGTCAAAGGCTCATTTGGGACACACTTAGTCTTGAAGCTCAGGCTAAGTACTTGGCTTCACTTTGGCTGCGTTTCAGTGTATGCAAGGCGCGAAGGTTTGTGAGTCATTGACCACAAGTTCTATCTTGTAAGAGTGGTACTAAACTATAATGACGTTGATAAGAAAAATATATTAATGATGTAAGAAATGATATTATGAATAAAGTTGTTACTTTTTTCTTGGATTGCATATACTTCTCTATTTTTTCTTCGTTGCACCTTTAACTAAAACTGACACTTCAATTGCGCTTAAAGCCCCTATAGACCTGTAGTGATTTTCGTCTTTGACAAAACTGGTTCTTTTCCTTTTCTCAATAGTTTTCTTAATAACCACTTTGGTTTAATGAAGATAGAACAGTTCCTTAAGTGACCTACTAATTGTATGAGAATGGCTTTTAGAGGGAGACTCACCAAAGAACATTAATAATCACCCCTTCAAGGAAATTTTGGCCGGGCCAGCTTGGATCATGATTAGGAAATGTGGAAAGTGGAGTCTGTGCTGTTCCCTGATTCAGGTTATCTGGGGACCACATTGAGGAGGAAGGAGTTCCAGAGTTAAGACATGTTTGACTGGGAGGTTTGTATTAGTGTGGGATCATCCAGTAAGTAGCGCCTTCAATGTGAAAGGATTTGAAAGCATTGCATGTACGGTGAGGGTTGGAAGGTGGTCTGAGAGAACATGCTGTAGAAAAAAATGAAGTAGCGAGGGGGCAATGGTGGTAACATCTCCAGCGTACTGACTTATCGATGATGTAATGAATTGCTTCAAAAGGAGGGGGAAGTGTGTGAATTTTCATTAATGTGGATTGTAACTAACCGAGTTTTGCTAGAGTTAGGCTGTCCTTAAAAGAAGAGGAGAAGGGTGCCAGTGTCTATAACAGTGGAGAGGGGCGACATGAGTTTCGGGGAACACTCTGAAATTTATCCTTGAAACTTTTTGTTAAAATTGGATTTTAACTTACCAGGTTTTGCTAGAGTTAGGTTGTCTGTGAAAGAAGAGAAAAAGAGTGCCAGTGTCTATTGCAAACAGAGAGGGGGTGACATGAGTTTCAATGTGAGATTAACACCAAAAATTATCCCTGCTTGGGAAAGGAGGACATGATTGGGGAAATAAGGAGGAGGTAAGAGAAAGGGCAAAAGAGGGACAGGAAAAGCCTATTATGAAGTGGAAAATGTTTCAGAAAATGGTTCTTGCATCTAACTCAGCTCCAAAAATAGCTTAGAAGGTGAAGATTCTTGAGTACCTTATAAACAGAAAACATTACTCATGTGAGATACTTAACACACCTATACACACTGATATGAAGAACATCAGGAGTTCACAATATAACATAAGGGGTCCTATGTTTGGGCCTAATTCAATCCCAGAAGCTTGGTCATGAGGCAAGAATTATCTAAGACCTCATAAGTGCACCACTTGTCCTTCAACTTATGTACGACACTTAACAAAAAAGATCGGGCAGAAAAATAGTGATGTAGTCAGAAATAACCAAGGAGGAGGGGTTGCTCAGCCGGCAATATAATATGATGGAAAGAAGCAAACAAATAAGGTGGTAAATGCTCTTAAGTGAACTTGGTAGGAGAACAAATTGGAATCAGTTTACTGAATTATATGTTCCAATAATAAATATCGGATATATTAAAGAATGACAAAAGTCTCATATTTGTGGTTAATGAGATGATGGACTCCTTATAAGGCTTGGCAATCCTCCTCTCCTTGAGCTAGCTTTTGGATGTGAGTTAGGCCTAAGACCTAATTTTAACATGGTATCAGAGCAGGGTCCGTCTCACCCGATGTTGGGACCCCCAAAATCACAATTGCCCATGCACTAGATGCTAAGCACTGGGCGTGAGGTGGAATGTTAAAGAATGACAAACGTCCCATACTAGTGGTTAATGAGATGGGTGAACTCCTTATAAGACTTGTGCAATCCTCCTCCATTTGAGCTAGCTTTTGGGGTGTGAGTTAGTCCTATGACCTAATCTCAACGGGATCAAACCAATGTCATTGAGTAGGTGATCAAGATGTCGGAAACTCCATTTTCAAAGCCAAAAATGGGTTAGAAAGTGATGAATCTAAAACCAATTGGCTTGAACTTAAGCCTAGACTCATAATTGGAGTGGGAGGGTAAAGGGCTCTTTCTTTCTGCCATCATATATCCAATGAAGCAGATCAGGAAAAACAACTTTGGTAATTTCCCATCTAAAGGAGATAGGGTGGGTGGGTGGTCAAAATTCTCAAATAAGTCTAGAAAGGAAGAGTCAATTACACCAGTCATCTTTCCAGTATCAATAAAGGATTTACATCCATCCGGTACTTCTGGTATCGTCCCAAAAGGCTTAGGATTAGATGCAATGTTCACGAAGGGGACCAAGGTGGTGCACCAAACTAAACAACAACATATCCGGTGAAATCCCACAAAGTGGGATCTTGGAAGGATAGACTGTACGTGGACCTTATCCTATCTCGTAGAGGTAGAGAGGCTCTTTTCAAAAGACCCTCGGCTCCTCAAGTGCAGTAAAACAAAGAAGTAATGAAAAGGAAAAACGATTGTGAAGAAAACATGACAACTAATGGAAATGTAGTGTAGAACATACATACAAGGAACAGTAACATCAACCAAATAGTGCAATCACCTAAATAACATATAGATAGATGGATAGATAACAAAAGCAAGAAACTATATATATATGAATAAGAAACAAACAAACTACGTAAAAAATTGTTTAGACCTTGGCACCAAAAATTGTTGTGTGTGTGGCAATCACCGAAGGATAGAGGAGATTGAAAGAATAAATAAAGAAAAATACTTTAAGTTTGGGAGAGATGGAAAGGAAAATAGAGTCATCGAATTGTTAGCTGACATAGAACAAGTTTAAAAGGGTTAGTTTTGATTAAAGAGCGAGATGGGTGGGGTAAGAAAAGAGATTGGAGCTGGGGCATCAACGTAGCATCTAGATGCTAACTATGCAAAGAGGCATTGGAAACCAACAAACACTTATTTTTGCATTGCAAAGTAACAAGACAAGTATGGGCTTTATTCTTCAATTTAGGTAGCCTAAACTGGTGTATGCTAGAACACACAACAGATTTATTGAGTTGTTGGATTTGGGGGGGGGGGGGGAACAAGAGTCAAAAGAAGTGTTGGAGGACAGTACCTGCTTGTATCTGGTGGAATATTTGGAAGGAAAAGAATCAGAGGATTTTTGAAGGAAAAGAATGCTCAATACAAAAGATTAAATGGAATATAATTACATCCTTAGGTTTCTGCTGTAAAGAACAAAATATAGAAGA